CCCGACCCCAGTTTGGATTAATTTGGGGTCCCCACCTCATCCCCAAGGTCGCCTTCCCTCCTCCCACGAAATTCCGCTCCTGGCAACTGACGAGTCATCATCGAGACACGCTCTGATTGGCTGGAAATGACCCCGCGCGGTCTCTGAGTATTTACCGCAGTGAGAGGCCTTGGTGTGTGGCTGGGAAGTGATGAGTCAGAGTCGGGCCGGGCGATGATTGGCTGAAAATCGCTGAGCGGGGCCAGTGCTCTGAGTTTGTGCCCAGCAAGTGGAACGTCATCAGTGCTGCGCGTTCTGATTGGTTGGGATCTGTTTTGGGGTGGGGACGGAAGGAACTAGGGTTACTTGGGGTTTCTTTGGGTTTATTTAAGGTTTGTTTGGGGTTATTGATGGACTATTTGGGGTTTGTCTTGGGTTTTACTTGGTTTTTTTCTGTTTATTTGGGTTAATTAGGAATTATTTGAGTTTATTTGGAAGTATTAGTGTTTATTTGGGCTTTTTTGGGTTTATGTGGGTTTATGTGGAATTATTTGGGGTTGTTGGGGTTAAAGTTGGTGTATATTCGGGTTTTTTTTGGTGTGCTTGATATAATTTGGGGTTCTTTGGCTTTAACTTGGGGGAGGTTTTTTTTCATTTTTTGGGGTTGTTAGAATTTATTTGGGGAAATTCTAGGTATTGTTTGGGGTATTTGGGTTTTTTTTCAAGTATTTTGGGGTTATTTGAGGTATTTGGGGCCACGTGGGGTCACATAGGGTCAAAAGCTCCAGGAATGTTTCTCCTGCAAAAATCGGGAATTTTTCCTTAAAAATCTGAGAGTTTTCCCCGAAAACACCGGGAATGTTCCCTTAAAAATCCTGGACTTTTCCCAACCAATAGCAGCGCGCCCTGCTCCAGTCACCGCGGGTCTCCCCACAGGAACAGCAGCCTCTCTGTGCACGGATCCAACCAATCACTGCATGCCTCCCCTCAGACACGCCCGCCTCTCACATCGAACAAACCAATCACCACGTTCCTCCTCTCAGCTACTCTCGCCTCTCTCCACCTGAACCGACCAATCACCGGGCGTCTTCCCTCAGCAATTCCCACCTTCTTTGCCTCTATCCAACCAATCACCGCGTGCCTGCGCCGCCCATCTCCTGTCAATCACCACGCCTTCTACGAAACCAACCAATCACCGGCCGTCTCCCCTCAGCAATTCCCACCCTCCCTGCGCNGGAAGGCGGCCGGAGACGGAGCCAGAGCTCGGAGCTGGTGCTCCATGATCAGCTCCATGATGGCGAGAAGCCCCACACGTGTGGGGAGTGTGGGAAGAGCTTCAGGTGGAACTGTGACCTGATTGTGCACCAGAGGATCCACACTGGGGAGAAGCCCTACGAGTGTGGGGAGTGTGGGAAGAGCTTCAGACGGAGCTGCAATCTGATTGAGCACCAGAGGATCCACACTGGAGAGAAGCCCTATGAATGTGGAGAGTGTGGGAAGATCTTCAGCGTGAGCTCTAACCTCATCAGGCACCAGAGAACCCACACTGGGGAGAGGCCCTATGAGTGTTCCAAGTGTGGGAAGAGGTTTACGACCAGCTCTGATCTCCTCCTGCACTATCGGATTCACAGGGATGAGAGGCCCTTCCAATGCCCCGACTGCGGGAAAGGATTCAGGCACAACTCAGCCCTCATCACCCACCGGCGCATCCACACTGGGGAGAGGCCCTACGAGTGTGATAAATGCAGGAAGAGGTTTCCAACCAGCTCCAATCTCCTCCAGCACTATCGGATTCACACAGAGGAGAGGCCCTTTCGCTGCCCCAACTGCGGGAAGGGATTCAAGTACAACTCCACCCTCATCAAGCACCAGCGCATCCACACTGGGGAGAGGCCCTACGAGTGTCCCCAGTGTGGGAAAAGCTTCTCCAGCAGCTCTGGCTTGACCCGACACCAACAGAGGCACCACTAAGGGAAGCCCTGCGAGTGCCCCGAGTGCAGGCAGAGCTTCGTGCGCTGCTCCAGCTCCATCCCCCACTGGAGGAGGCACTTTGGGCACAGCCCTGGTCTCTCACATTCCCTGTGATCCATGTTGGGAACACACCTGGCTGCTTCACCTTTTGGTTTGGCCTTATTTTTCCTCTGCTATACCTTCGTCCTTATAAACACCCAAAACTGGGTTAAATGAAGGAAATTGATTGAATATATCTGCAGTTTCATAATTTCTCTGTTGTTTCAGGGGGAATTTAATATTTGGGGACACGTTCTGTATGGAGTGCTGCTGGTGCTAAGAGGAAGCAATTTGATCTCACCCTTCTTGTGGTGTTAAGATCTCCTCCCCTGACCCAAACCCCAACTCCACCCTTTGGATACCCTATAAAAACTCCACGGCCCTTCCTTTGCCCTGTCTTTGGAAGATAAGAAATGGATTCCGAAAGGATCAGCCGTTTTCCAACTGGATTCCCAGAGGATCAGCCCTTTCCCACTGGATTCCAAGAGGATCAGCCTTTTTCACTGAATTCCCAGAGGATTCTGACTCTGTCACTGTTTCTTTTTGTTTGTATAACTGCATTTGTATTTTTAATTTTTGCTTATAAAGTACTGTTTATTCTTCTCTCATATCTTTTCCTGAGAGCCCCTTAATTTCAAAATAAATTACTATTATTATTATTAATTGTAATCAAAGGGAGGGGGTTTACATTTTCCATTTCAGTGGAGGCTCCTGAAAT